CATCAGAACGCAGTACACGAAGGTCGGAAAGATTTTGCATGTTACAAGTGCGAAAAAAAATTCGGGCGAAAACAGCATTGGCTCAAACACCAAGAAATAGTCCATAAGGGTTGAAAAAATTTTTCAGGTGAAATTTGCGAAAAAAATAATGATTGACAATTGTAAATGTGTAGGGATACATAATACATGTTTTTCCAAAATTTGAATAAAAATTGTACTTAAATAATGGTTTATTACCTAAATTGCGGGAATTCGATATGATTATACTTGTGTTCACTGTCGTACTGTTGATTTATTTTTCAACCAGATTTTGCGTACAACTGATTATTATTCTCTGTTCATTTTTTGACTACTTAGATCTTAGCTCTTATTCAACCAATATCCCAGATTTTTTTCCCACGTCATTTTTGCAGCTGTCAATGGGGAGAACATTTTGTTGATTAACTAATTTTTGATAAACCTCACGTAATGATGTGCAACCCTGAATCGATCAAACATGCACTAGAATAAGATTTTGAAGAATTTGCTGATGAACCGAGAAGTTTTTACCGAAAAAACCAAAGTAGAAACCATTTGATAATTTAATTTAAATCCAAAAATGTTTTCTGAATTTTCTTCAAAATTAGTAAAAGCTTATCGTAATTGCTTTTTTCTTTTTCTTGGTACTATTACCAATTCCAAAATCGTATATTATCTTATAATGTATTATCTTATATTTTCTTAATTAGATATATTATCTTATATTATCTTATACTATCTATATTAAATCAGCACTTTTTCTAATCCACTATCGTGGTAGCCACTTTCAACTAGACATCGATTTGAAAAAAGTTGCTGAAATCATTGATAGTCTCGAGTTCCAATTATTTCACGAATTTAAAATAGTTTATTCAGCTGCATACACAGTCAGCTGCGCCAAAAAACTTGACCCATCGAAATTTTCAGTTTTCATAAGCCACGAAACGAATTTTTTTTGTAACGCATTGTACACGATCGGATTTTTTTTCAATGCATATAAGCCGTGTCTCGAGCCTCGCGCGTGATTCAACGAGCTCTCAATTATACCGTACTTATATTTATGCTGCGCGATCTCACTTCTGTACAGCCAAGAGATAAGCTCGCCCTTACTTGCACGCGCGTATATGCAATATTTATAAACCGATCGCGCACGCAGGCGGCCGAGGCTAATTGAAAACGTCCTCGCCTCTCGCCCGATACACGCGGCACTCGATGCGGCGACGATCACGACCATCGGCTTCTACTGCAGCTCGCGTAAATTATATTTATTTAAATTAAACGCGCGTATATGGTTATAATACGACCGGTGCGAGCATGTATATGAAAAGATAAGAAAGAATAATTTGTGCGCGGTCGTTTATTTTCTCCGCTGTTACATATGCCATTGCTAATTTGAGAAAATTATCGGTACTCGCGATCGGTTAATTGTTGATTGCAAATACACGCGCCCAACGCCGAGTCTTTAATTTTTGTAATTTCGCGTCGTGCAGTGCCAGCTACATACTCGAAAAGCAAAGATTAACTTTACGCCTCGAATTTTAAATGCTTTTCAATGTTCTCTGCCCTGCTGCTATATACAGTAGTGCACGCGGCCGAAACTTATTTTATAATGTGGGCATTGACGGAGAAAGAGAACGAGAGAGAGGGAGAGAGAGAGAATCATTGTATACATCACGCCCTAACCATCCCCCGCTGCAAATGAAAAGTACATTTAAAAGGGACAGATGCGAAAGTAATAGCGATCACGTGTTTGTGTGTTCCGTCGCGAGCGATCATCTCGAGGGAAATCAGAGATCGTTCAACGGCCCCTCGTGCCGCAGTGGAAGGATCTATGTAATTTAAGTAGGTATATCTGTGCGTGGCTTTATCGCACGCACGAAACGTATTACAGGCTACTCGTGCTTTATGACTGGACAGTGGAGTGTAGAGAGTTAACGCAGCTTCGCCACCTTGACGCATTGTTGTTCAATACATTTTTGCGCTTTTAATTTTCACGAGTAGTGCGGAAAAAATAAAACTGCTGATGTGATTCAAGGGCACATGATTTTTCTTTATTTACTAGGTCGTAATTTTATTTACCAAACAATTTTGAAGCTAAGAATAGCTTAGAAGATTACTTTTTTTTTGGTAGTAGGTACAGTGAATGAATGAAAACAAAGTCAAATAATTTTTATTACCTGTATTCAAGAAATTTGCCTCATAATATTTGTATAAAATTTTTTTCAATTATTAGAAGGTTTTGGGTTCTGAGACTTGGGCTCTTTTTGAGCGGTTTTTTGTCCAGGCCTAGTTAGCTTCTCTTCTCCTGGGACATAATCGGTAGCATTTTTTGGATTGCCATGTTGTCGATGATAATTGTCGTGCACTTTGATGAAATCATTGAAAGTCATTGGAGTTAATGTTTCTTCCTTGTAAATTACTTTGCGATTCATTTCTGTTTGTAGAAAACACCAAAAATATATTTTTATTAATTTGACTGTTTGCAAGTTACATTTAACTTTTTATAAAAAAATCAAAATATAATTTTTTTGATACGATTTCATTACATTCTAAAGTGTAATATTTTGAATGCTAGTTAAAACATCCTTTTTTAAAATTCCGAAAAAAGTGGAATTTTAAGTTATGGAAATGACATAACATGATCGTAAATTACTTTCGTTCAAATCACTGATATGGTTAGTAATATTCGAAAAAGTTCGTGTTTTTTTAAAAATAAAAATAATCGATTAAAATTACACGAAACTTATCACTATTTTTCAATTAAATCTAAGTTTTTTGATTGTTTAAATGTGCAATGCTCACTAAAACTGTTTGAAATCCAAGTTGGAAAGGTACAGATTTGTCGTAACTCCTCGAAGACGATCGGCTGTGTCTCGATCGAAAGCCAACGCCAGACTGTGACTAAATATTGGCGCAAACGCCGATCGGTTCAGCGCCAAACCTCCCCCGCATTTGCTTGCAATATTTTAATTCGAGGCGTAAGAAAGGAACGAGCGGATATGGAGTTGAGTTACACCTGATAATGTGGTCTAACAAAGTACAAAACAACACTCAGTCATACCGTCATGCACGCACGTGTTCACGCGTTCGTCGAATACATTCCATCGGTTTATCGATTCTCGTGCCAAGCGAGAATGCAGTGCGTATGCGTAATGTAGTATATACTGCAGGTTTCAAAAAGTTTTTGACAAAAACTTGCGATGTTTATGGTATCCCAGCTCAATAAGGCGAATTTAATCTCATGATTACCGTTTCAATTGAGGGTGCGTGGATACCCGAAAAATTGAGTTATCAACCGTTTCAACTCGACTCGTCGGGTTCGGATCAAGATGTAGACAACTTATGGAATGCGTAAAAATGTATGAAATATTTTAATAAATCGGTTACGATCGGCACGGTCCCTTACCAAAGAAAATAAGTGTCTATATTCTTTGGCGCTGCACTGCTCAGTCTACAGCGTTTATCTCAATTGCTCACCACGCGCCACGCCATGTGCAACTGAGAAAAAACTATTAGAGAGAGAAAGTATAGCTATACAATATCATATAGTAAAGCATCAGCTAGCTCTTCTGCCATGTGATGTCTGTTGACCTTGCCAACTTTTCGATGCTGTGCTTTTCGAACATCGTCAGCAACGTACAAATATTATAAAACGCTTTTAAATTAGTTAATACCTTTTTTCGTCACAAAATTTTCATTGATTTGAAAATTTACTTCTTGTATTATTTTTCTAGATTCGTCAACAATCTCGATAAGTAAAGCACTGGAACGTATAAAATTTACATTAAAAAATACATTCCATTAAAAAATTCGTCCACTTTAGGGAACGTAGTAACTTTCACTTGATTCCGCTCAGGCAATAGACTGAAGTGCTCAGCTTCAATGTTGCACAACACATGAAATACTTTAAATTTCGATCTTAAATGTTGTGAGCGCATTCTCTAATACCTACACTTTTCATGTATGCAATAAAAAAATTATTTCATTATCCGCGTTGATTAGTTAAAAATCCACAACGATTCAATGAAAAATCCTCGGGTAATTTTCGAGTGTGCTTTCACGAGAAAACCTCGTGGATTTTTCATTGAACCTCGTTATAAGTACACGACGATTGCATTTTTTTCGAACCATGTCTTATCCATGCGGATGAAACTGAGCCACACTTTTGTCACACTTTTTTTCACGCGGGTGACATTTGAATAGTGGCTGTTCTAACCAAAAAATTAAAACTTTGCCGTTAGTTTTAGGTTATTGTGCTATAAAATATCGTCTGCTCAACTTGTGTGAATAAGCTCTTTCAGACGCCTTCGACTCGTGCTCCAGCTCCTCATTGAGAAAAAGCATATCTACACCCGTTGCATAAAGTACGATAATCTTCTTACATCGTTGTACAAAAAGTCAAGATAGTGCCTTTTACGCTTTTGAAATTTTTAACTATAAATGTTTTTTATGAATAAACAAGATGAATAAGTCATGGACGAGGAATATTTGTTGGTTGACACTGAACATTTTATTCAATTCAATTGATACAGAATTTATTTGTAAGTTGCTTGAATGTCTCCACTGAAAACTCCACCTCCTCCACTGAAAACGCTTGAAAACTCCAGAAAACCGTTTACTCGAGATGTAACACAGATTTTAGGTTCATTTAGGTTATCTTATTATAACTACACTTATACACACCACATGTTCAACGCTAGCACGTACGTGTTGCACTGACGTGTAACTTTCACTTTCACTTTCACTTTCACATTTACCTTTCACTCAGTATTTGAAATTGCAGTGCGGTGAGAGTGGGGCTGCGCGTTGGTTACGGATACTTCATCTGCGCACGTGTACATCATAAACGGTTCCATAAACTCTGACGTGTTAGTGGAAGAAGGGGGAGGGCGTGAGAGGAATGATCACGAGATTTGAAAATATGGCCACGGTGGCGCTGTTGTACTGACAGAGCAGTATTTAAAGCGAGAGTAGCTCTCTCAAGTTCAGTACACACGAAGCGTCTGCTACAAAAACTTGAAACTCTCTGTAGTTGCTGCGCGCCATCACCGATTACAATACGCTATACATTTACTTTCAAATATGTACCACGAAAGACATTTGGAAGGGGCCAACATGACGAAGCCAAGTGTCAGCAAGTTAACGATCAGGATCGAAGAGTTGCAGAGGGAGTTTTACGACCTCTCCAAAGCCATCGATGACATAAACGAGAAGCAGCGTCTGGTTTACGAGGCCATAGCGCAAAATCACGAAGAGAGGCGCAGATTGTTAGAAGATAAATGTAGCTTGATCGCTCTAGAACAGCAACAGGAACAAGAACAATTAAAGCATCAACCGGAACAGCAACAGTTACAACGGCAAAAACAACAACAACAACAGCAGCAGCAGAATATATCGACCGCCGCATCTACTACAACAACGACGACGATGATGCCAGCACCTATCACAGGTCTCGTAATAAGGTCAGCGACAGGTGACTTATACGCCATTCCACATCAACCGGGCTTTGACTTGACCAATTTCACTGCTACGGGTCCCTCGCTCGGGCTACAGCCAATCATTAATCCACAACAGCTCAAGTGCGACCTAGCATACAACTACGATCATAATACAAAAATCATGTGTCAAGAGTCAAATTTACCCACAGTTCAGAAGAGCATAACAAACAAACCTAAGCGCAAAGCCAACGAGAATCTACGTAAGTCTGAAAAACAAAACTTCTTTGTTCTCAAGGCGTTAAGTATATATATGCAATGACACGTGAAAAACGAGTGTGTGTTGCGCGCGCATGCGCAAGCATTTATTTTAGGTTAAGATAAAGTAGCAATTAAAATTTATCACTCCCCCTCTTGTGTCACGTGACATAGGCGAGTGCGCTCGACGCTACTGAGCCTTGGAAATGTCTGCTATGCAAGTTCGTGCGTGTTCGTGCGTGTTCGTGCGTGTTCGTGCGGGTTCGTGCGAGTTGCTCCGTCAGACTTTAAGGCATATTGTAGACCGCGGAAAAATTCAATCAAAAATTGAAATTGAAATAGATTAAGAATTATAATAATTGTAATGATCCCTCACAGAAATTGAAGTTCAAGTTAGTTAAGAATTAAATCGAAAAAAACAAATACTAAAAATCGGAAAAAAGTTAAATAACACTCGGATTTTTTCTACAGATGCGATGCAAGCGAATAAGCATAACGTTACCCAGGTACCGACGACCAAGACAATAACAGCCTGTCCCATTGGAAATGGCTCCAACAAATACCTCAAGGTTTCCCAGCAGGATGAACTTCCGAAAGAAACTCAAAATATCAAAATTGTGAAGGTCACGGGCTCGACTAAGCCGACGAAGGCCGTCACGAAAACAGTTACCAAAACTAACAAGATAAAGGCAAAACCAAAAATTCAAAGAAATATACCAAAGAAATTAGAATTTTCAGATGGTGAGTTTCCGAATTTTTATGACTAATTTTATAAAAAAAAATGAGCGAATAATTGAGATAATTATTTTTATAGGTTCAGACGTAGAGATCGTTGACGATACGAATTTCGTGGCACCACTGCCACAGTGCTCGAGGGCATATAGTTTAGTTAGTGCTTAGGGAGAGATCGACTGAAATGTTTTTGAGCCTCAGGTCCACATCAGTTGATGTGAGTCATTAAGGTTTTTAAAACTTTTTTAAACATTATTTTATATATATAAATTATATAAGGTACATTGTAGAATAAATATTTTACTTTATTTAAGTTAAAGTATTACTAGTCACAAATAAAATTGTATTTTCCTGAAAAAATAACCTTTTTCATTTGAAGAATTGTCACTGCGAGATTTGAAAAATGTATTATGATCTTCTAGAAACATGTTGTGTAACGATCGATGAAATAGACATATTGCGTTATTACTCATGATAATTTCATACTTGAGAGTGTAGTTTACGATTGCTTTATTAAATTTTGATCAACTCAACATATTATCAATAGCAAGCTTTTACTAAATGCTCTGCGTAGTCAATCAATGTTTATTTGTTCCGTTTCAATTCTCGGTCTTATAACGAAAACGATATATATACCGGATGCACGCCCAATATCACTTACATAAAATTGCATATCAAGCCAAATACCCCTACCCCTTCCACGAGATACGCTCGTCAATTTTTAAGTACGATATTAATTTATTTATTAAAATATTAAATTTATTAATATTATTAAAAAATATTTGAAAGGCATGATTTATTTCAGATACGAGAGTTCTTCCTTAAAAAGAAAAAATATCGATGCACATTTAAGGAGGTAGCTCTGTCGAAAAATTATCAGACGGACTAAAATCAAATTACGTTAACATACTCATTCTTATAATAGGAGTGCACTGTTAGATTTTAGTGCAAATCCACTGTTTAGTTTAAGAGATATCAGTAAAACATTCACGGACGGATTTGTGTGAAATTTTTAGAACCCTTCAATAACCTGCCCACAACAGCTGATCAATGTAGTACCCGAAGAACGAGCAGACGCGCTTGTCTAGGGACTGCTTAGTTAGGTTAGTTCCAGTTACTTTCGACATACGAGTGACTATGAAAATTTTACTAGCGTAGAAATCGGAGGTACCAACTCCTTAAAAATGTATATTCAAAAATTACATTAATTACTCGGCACGCTGCACGTGGCGTAAACTTTGGTACCATATCACATCACATGGTTCTGGTATCACATCATCAGAAATTCGAAAACTCGTGCTCAACCTTAGAACGCCACCTATATCCAAGACCAGCAACTAATCAAAACACGTTCATTCCGATTACACAATGACTCGATCACTTTGATTCAGAGAGTAGACAGCTGTCAACCGCTTCCCACTACTCTATATACGGCCATATGATCTACTCATACTGTCCGCCAGTTGGCGCCACAAACGAGACAGCAGAAAAAGCGTCCGATGAACGATCCATCTCCGAACGCACAGTAGCCTGGGCGAAGTGAGCGCGAGTGCCGCTTCATTATCATAGTAGTTGGTGCGCGCTTATCGATGCTTATAATTTACCAATCCCTCGATCGTTCTTTTATTTACGTTCGGGCCAAGTTGTATCGGAGACGTGCAAAAGCATCATGACGACGAACGGTGAAAAAGACTACGATAAGCTGGTTAACGAGCTGCAGAGGGAGTATCTCAACTTGGTCGCGACCCTCAAGTCATTAGAGGCGAACCACGGGAGGGTCTACAAGACGATGTTGAGGAATCGCGAACAGATGGATAAGCTGACGGCAGGTCGCTCGAACAGAGTAAGCAATCAGCCCACGCCACCGATGCCACTTGTGCCACGTGTCCTCAATGTACGTGCTGGTACCGTCGTCCTTCCACAGAATCAATACCAGACGAGCCAGCTGCTATCTCAACAGCAGCAGCAGCAGCAGCAGCAGCAGACGACGGTGATGCCCGTCACGAGCACCGCAACGCCGACGACGATGAGGCCGCAAGTGCAGATGACGAAAAACGAACAGATGAGCAAGCTGATGACAGGTTGCTCGAATGGAGTAGGCAATCAGCCCACGCCACCGATGCCAGCTGTGCCACGTGTCCTCAATGTAAATGGCGGTCTCGTCGTCCTTCCACAGAATAAATACCAGATGAGCCAGCTGGTTCCTCAACAGCAGCAGCAGCAGCAGCAGACGACGGTGAGGCCCGTCGCGAGCACCGTAACGCCGACAACGTTGAAGCTCGTCGCGAGCACCGCAACGCCGACGACGATGAGGCCGCAAGTGCAGATGCCGACAAACGAACAGATGAGCAAGCTGATGACAGGTTGCTCGAATAGAGTAGGTAATCAGCCCACGCCACAGATGCTAGCTGTGTCAAGTGTCCTCAATGTAGGTGGCGGTCCCGTCGTTCTTCTACAGAATCAATACCAGATGAGCCAGCTGCTTCCTCAGCAGCAGCAACAGCAGCAGACGACGGTGAGGCCCGTCGTGAGCATCGAAACGCCTATAACGGTGAGGCCACAAGTGCAGATGCCGAAAAACTCGGGCTTATCAATTGCAACCGTGCCGACTGGTATTGCAGTTCCCACGATCAAGCTGCAGCCAGTCAGTCTAGATCATATTAAGAAGATGGTGGCTGTAAAAATGCAGGCAACCACGAACGAGCAGCAGACAGATTCGACCTCGTCGCAGAATCCGAAGCGCAAAGCTAACAACGGCGCAGGTATTCGTTCTTTTTCAACTTTCGGGTTGGCTCCGATGGTACGAAATTTATAAGGATTAATGCACTAAAGTAAAAAAATAAAAAAATATGTTGCAACAATCATTCGCTGATCACTTTTGATTTTGATTGATCGACCAATTTTTTGAATATTTGTTTTTAAAGCTCATTTAAACTTGATTGATTACCTCGTTTAAATGAAGGTAAAACTCTTTATCTTCAATTTATGTAAGCTCGAAACAGTTTTATAATTTTTTATGAAACCTCTAGAGCCATCTTAAAACGGCGTCGATTCCAAAACTTCATGGAAAGAGATCGTTAATATCACAACAACTTATTTTCTCTAGATTTCAAGCTAGGAAGTCAGATTACCATTACCCAGATACCTGCACCTGCCAAAAAAATCAAGCCCAGTCCCACCAAGATCGTCTCCAACGATCACGTCTCTATCCTTCCCAAGCCGACGACAACTTCAGATTCACAAATCGTGGAAGTCACCGGTTCGGGTAAAATGGACGAAACAGACTCGCAAACAGTTGAAAAAATTGATCGGAGAACGACGAAGCTAGCATGCCGCGTCGACTCTGCGGATACAGTATGCAATCCAATCAGAGACGAGCAAGGTGGTGAGTTTCCAAGTGACGATTTCTTGTTACTGTAATTTAACAAAAAATAAAGTGCACGACTAATCGAAATAGTTCGTTTGCAGGCTCGGATATAGAGATCTTGGAGGAGTTTTCGACTGATAAAGCCAATAATAGCATAAAGGTTAAGACAGAACCTACAGAGGCAACAGTCAAGCCTAAAAATGTCGATAAGCCCAGTAAAAGACCACAAAAGGGGAATAATTAAAAGGATTATAGTAATTTCAGATAGAGTATCACGAAAGTACAGTTATTTAGTACGATTAATGATGCGTATCTTTTACGTCATTGAAAAAAAAAAAATGTTGTGACGCGAGTATACTTTGTGTCGAAGTATATTATTTACGTTTGAGCAACTGGGATGCTGTGTGATAAATCGCATATCTTTGTAAATTGAAAATTGCTAAAACAATTGTGCTTAAGTAGCATGAGACTATTTTATGTATTATTTAAAGTCAGTAATTATAATTTAATGATAAGAAAAAATGTACGAATTACATTTTAAAATTATTATTTTATTTTTGTATGTAACATTTACGAATGAGAATTACATTTGTAATGGATTATTAACGATATACATTTGATTAAAGGATAAACAAAAATTACACAGTGTTAACAAACGAAAATTTGTTCAAAAAACTTCAAATTACCTTAGCTTTTAGCTTGACAATATTAGAGGATTTCGTAGCAGTTGACAATTGAACGTCATTAGATTGTGCATCGTATTTTGTTAAAAATAATCATGGGTTTTAGATGTCTCGTAATGTTTTACATGTAAGAGATACTGCTCGATGATGAGTTTTGTCAATTTTTCACTTTGTTCTTCGACAGACTGAGTCATCGCTTTTTTTTAAGAGTATAATAGATTACATCTAATTAAGGCGCATTCGACAAACTCAATCTGAATAAAAAAAATCTAGGAGCTGGAAATACTGTATGAGTTCTTCGTCGCTGGCTGCCTTTGTCCATTTTTCACTTTACACTTTGACACGTAGATGAAATCATAGTTCTTTTCTCCTTTTTTTCATCATAATATACACATCGAGCATAAATAACTATACATCTAATTAAGACGCGCACGAAAAGATCAATTCGAATTGAAAAAAAAAAAAAAAATCGAGTAGCTGGAAACACCGTATTAGTTAAGCAGGCGAAATATCGCTGCGTAGGCGCCAATCCGACGAGTACATTATACCCAGTCGCCCATTGAAAGTTAAATAACATAATATTCGTGTCTCTCTCAACCCTCTAACGACTCCATTATACTCGGACGCGTCCAAGAAGCGTCGGTCGTCGCTCGTGAAGTAGGTGCCGAATACGAGCACAATATCTCTCGCGCAGCGCGCCGTACGCACGTTACATTTACATTATAATCTGTGCATCTATGACCGTGTGTTTGTGTGCGTGCGTGAGTAGTATAGGCTCGGCTGCTCGCTCGAGCTCGTAATTCTTGGATATGTATACGCGCGCGGCCGCCGCATCCCATTGTCCCTGCGCCAGGTAAAAGGCCGAAAAATGTCGAATTCCCGCGGTGCGCGCGCGCGCATGAAAAGTCTGCGGCTGTGGAGTGGCGATCATCATTGACTGCATTAGGCATCAAGTACTCCCACGTATATGTGCGTAGTAGTACATCACTACTGCACCGCCCCCAACTCGAGCATCATATATATACGTGGATTATTATGTATGTACTCGTCGAGTTCTTTCGGATAGAATTTTTATTTTCAGTTAAAAAGTCAAATTCCGCTAATTCGGTCTCGGCCGTCTCACTCGTGTTGGGATTCTAGGATCGAACGTTAAGGCGCCTATATATATACGGGCGCACACGAGCTGCTCGAGAGAAGTTTTTTCTTCTTTTTTTTTTGGAAAAAAAAAAGGTTCGCACGAAAGCGAGACATCATCTCGTTATAAGCTGCACACGCACAAACACGAAAAAATAAATAAAGAGATACGAGGCGGGGGAAAAATAAAAGTTATAACGATCGCGGAGAGAGAGAGAGATGATTTTCTGGACCTCCTGCAGTTCGCTCGGCTCGGAGGAATGCATGCAACATTATTATAGCCCATATATATATACGCGTAAAAGGACTCTATTCTTCGGCCCATTACTCGAGCTCGTTTGTCAATGATACAGCCATTATAGGCTATTATATGCGTGTATAGGTAGGTGAGTGGTGTGTGCGTGGGACACAGCGATAAATATTACAAGTAGCCCTTCGAGTTTTCAAGTATATCATTTTCACGCAGTTCCAGTTCGGCGTTATTGTATGTGTGTATATTAGGGCGGAACGAAAAAACACTTTTGACGCCGATCGCTTTGTAATAGTATTTTATCGAAAGTTTAAGATAAAAAAAGAGAAAAGCCGCGAGCTGGGCGCGAACAAATGATGTCTTCAGGTGGCGCATGAAGCCTGAAGTTTGAAATTCGTAAAAACAATATCTTTATGCTTCAGTATGAAATCGTTACCAAATTTTTCTGCACTGGATTGGCCGATTGGGCTGAAAGTTTCAGGGCTTGTTTTACATGTTGAAAGGAGTTTCTCTGTAAAATTTTAGCCCTCTAGGTGCCTTAGAAGCAAAGATATAGTCATAGGAAGGTTGAAAAATTACGTTACATTAATTTTTTTTTGTTCTTTTTCCATCTTCACACAGCTGTACGTTGCGTAATTTTGCTGCTATTAAAACGAACGAGTAACCAATTTCTTCGTCTTTTAAAGGCCTTTTCAACCATATAAATTTGTATAGTGTTTTTTAAATTTTTACTGAAGTTACAGTATAAAACGTCCAACATTTTGTGTCGCGCTCGAAACTACAATTGTTATTTTTTTTTCTGTTTCTTAAAAGTTACACATTCTAGACAAACTTGAACCCCAATGATAGTTATATGGCCTTAAAGAGCATAAAATTTCCTTTAATTTGGTGTATTTAAAAACTCTCTAGGTCCTCTAGAACCAAAGATACAGCTGTTTGAAGTTTTACCAAAAATGAAAGTACTGAATCTGTGAATCTATCATAGGCCAGATATGGTATGATCATCACACAATCGAATCTTACATTTTCAGTAAAACTTCAAACAGCTGTATCTTTGGTTCTAGAGGACCTAGAGAGTTTTTAAATACACCAAATTAAAGGAAATTTTATGCTCTTTAAGGCCATATAACTATCATTGGGGTTCAAGTTTGTCTAGAATGTGTAACTTTTAAGAAACAGAAAAAAAAATAACAATTGTAGTTTCGAGCGCGACACAAAATGTTGGACGTTTTATACTGTAACTTCAGTAAAAATTTAAAAAACACTATACAAATTTATATGGTTGAAAAGGCCTTTAAAAGACGAAGAAATTGGTTACTCGTTCGTTTTAATAGCAGCAAAATTACGCAACGTACAGCTGTGTGAAGATGGAAAAAGAACAAAAAAAAATTAATGTAACGTAATTTTTCAACCTTCCTATGACTATATCTTTGCTTCTAAGGCACCTAGAGGGCTAAAATTTTACAGAGAAACTCCTTTCAACATGTAAAACAAGCCCTGAAACTTTCAGCCCAATCGGCCAATCCAGTGCAGAAAAATTTGGTAACGATTTCATACTGAAGCATAAAGATATTGTTTTTACGAATTTCAAACTTCAGGCTTCATGCGCCACCTGAAGACATCATTTGTTCGCGCCCAGCTCGCGGCTTTTCTCTTTTTTTATCTTAAACTTTCGATAAAATACTATTACAAAGCGATCGGCGTCAAAAGTGTTTTTTCGTTCCGCCCTAGTGTATATAGTCTAGGGGCCAATGGGTCCACCGTGGCCACGTTTTGATTTGATGGGTGCACCAAAGTTTTTCTTACGTATTTTGGGCTGCTCAAACCGAATTTCTATGGTGCATATCGCTAAAATTGGTCATAAAAAAGTTATAAGCAAATAATTTTGCATTGACTATAAAATTGAATTTTTTGCCCCAAAAACATTTTTTTAGCATTTTTGGATCATTTCAAACAAAAAAGTACTCTTGTCATTTTTTCGTAAACTCAATGGTTTACGAGAAAAAAGCGATTCAAATGTGAGAAAAATCCCGGTATTATCTATGAATAATCAACTTGATATCTTCAACTTTGAATGAACGAGGGTTAATTAATTGAAAAATCAATACTGTTATTTTTTACTTTACTTTTTATTTATTTGAATGATGTATGATAGATCTAAAAAATTTATTTACACGAGACATTACAAAAGTACTGCATAAATATTCGCTCTTCTAGACTTGCAATAATTTCTTGAAGCCTGGAAAAGGTGCCCATCGCTGGAAAAACTTCCGCGCCAATGTTTTGCACAGATAGGCGTCGCAATCCTTTATGCTATACACGTCACGATGTTCCTCCGAGTTCGCAAACTCCAAGTAATCTTGATATTTGACACGTTTGGAGGGCTGATGTTGTGACAGCTTGATCAGTCTGTAAAGCGACACACTCGGATTTATCATCGTTCGCTCGGCCATGCTTACGAAGTTTTTCTTCTTGAGATAATCCTTGATACTACACGACTGCTGGAAAAATCTGAACTTGTAGAATAATCGAAAGATAGCCAAGGCCTCGCTTCGCTTTATCTTGTAGCCGTTGTCTTGTAGGCTTTCAAGGATAACTATAACACTAGACACTTCTGCCAAGTTGCAAGTAACCATACCTTCCTTCATTCGCAGGGAAATTTGCTCGTGTATATCTCGAAGAGGAAAAGCGAAGGTGGTTGGATCAGCCCTATGATCCAGAAGTAGATCGACCACATTCGGCAACAATCTAATCACGGCGTAATACAGTGGTGAATGGCCCACTTTGTCCAAAGCGTTCGAGTCGGCGCCGTTTAACAGTAGCAACTCCACCAATTCGTAGTGCTCGCACTCCAGAGCTAAATGTATCGGCGGAGTGACATTGAGCGAGCGCGTGGTTGGTTCACTAGGCAGATAATCGGGGTGTTGGCCCGCATTGAAAAATTTCATCACCGCTGCCTCGCAGCCGAACATGCAGGCCACATGGAAATGCGTCAGGCCGTTCTGGTCGACGTAATTCAAGTCGTATCTGTTATATACAACACGAAATAGTTTACTGACGGTTCTATTCCACTTTTGCCCGGAATCATTCGCGTGCCGCCTTGCTATATCATGTATTGGAGTCGTGAGCTGCAGCACTGCCTTACCGTCTTTATCAAACGTAGACTCGGCTCTGCAGCCGGCCTCGAACAACATGTGGATGAATCGTTCTCCTGGGTAAATGTCGTCTTTGTGGTGGCAATGAAATAATTCTATGAGAAACCGATGAGTTTGTTGGCTATTAAAATACTCCAAAATATGAAAATACTCCTGTAAAATTAGGAGTTGGTCCTCCCAGACCAAACTAAATAGTTTGGTTTTAATTCCACGGAAGTCATCCAGCCAATCTTTTTTATTACTCACCACCATTGCGGATTCATTGCTGACATCGCACAATTCTTTTGAAGAAGGACAAGACATCGTTCTGCACACTCGCTAAACACGTCCACTTATAACTTGAGATGAGATGATTGATTTATATAAAATTATTTTTACTTCGCCACTTGCAAGTTTACAATATAACGTTACTCGCCATCTAGTGTTAAAAGCTATAGGAGATCTAGACCCCACGTTTTTATCGGCCGAGACACGCAAAGTTTCTTTTATTTTTAACTTTTTCTGTAATTCGAATTTCGACAAATGGCTCTATGGCGACCTTCATTTTGTCGCTAAGAATAAGTAATTAAAATTACAGCCCATTCCATTGAGCAAATTTCCCGGAAAACTGGATTGAAAATTTTGATCAAGCCGTGGATCAAAAATCGGGATCAAAAATTTTAATCCAGTTTTTCGGGAAATCTGCTCAATGGAATGGGCTGTAATTTTAACTACTTATTCTTAGCGACAAAATGAAGGTCGCCATAGAGCCATTTGTCGAAATTCGAATTACAGAAAAAGTTAAAAATAAAAGAAACTTTGCGTGTCTCGGCCGATAAAAATGTGGGGTCCAGATCTCCTATAGCTTTTAACACTAGATGGCGAGTAACGTTATAATGCAAACTTGCAAGTGGCGAAGTAAAAATAATTTTATATAAATCAATCGAGGGAAAAGATTGACAGTTTTTCGGTTTACTATTTTTGCCTAAGAAGCTAATACATTTCGAAAATATGCGAGGCTTCATTCGATCCTTACTCGCTACCGAAAATGGCCGACGAATTTTTCGTCGATTCCGCATTATACGTATTAAAAGTGCTCAAACGCTCGAACGCAGAGTTATTGCGATCAAAGTCATCATATGCGCGATCAATTGAATCAGCCTCGAGAGCTGCGATCGTTTCTCGAACTGCGCGGCTACTCGCTATACGCGCTGATTTACGACTCGGATGCTAAGTTCGATACGAATACAACATAAGCACAGGATGTATGTATGATATTCTTATATTATATAATAATACTGCAGGAATTACAAGAGCGTACTAATATACGTGCGCTGCAATGTTATCCTCGATTTGGCGTCGCTGTCCTCGTCGTCGACGTCGCGACTGTCACATTAATTGTCTCCTTTTTGGGCTCTCATTGACTATTTATACGTATATAATGTGGCTCTCGAGTCGCGGGGGCACGCGTGTCCACAGGCTCATTCAGCTTGCCTCGCAGCTCTTTTATTTATTATAATGTACCATCTCGTTCTTTTTTTTCCTTATATATATTATTTTTCAGGACTCGTTCCGAGAAGGAAGAGTAGCAGTAACACGAATTAAAAAGGTGTAGAGAAGGCGAGATAGGAGGCCCCCTGAAAAGAGGTGTATGTTTATGCGCGCCATAAGTACGTGATTACCCGAACGAAGAAGAGGCACAAGGAGCATTGACTGCTGCGCCTCAGCTGCGCGACTCTCGCCAGAAAAAAAAACACGCATATCTATCTTAATTCGCTGTATTTATAATAATATATATCTAGGGTGTTTAGGCTTGACATTCGTGAATTTTGCATTCATCTTCGTTTTATATAATATAATATAATATAATCGCTGAGTTGCTGCTGCGAGCTTATCCTAACTCACGCATACACACACGCAGCAGAGAAAGAGAGAGATAGGAACTCGCAGACAAATGTCTCTTTCATCATTGTGTTCCATCAACGGGGCAGCTCGTCGAGATTCATCGCTCTCCTCTCCTCGTATTAAAGAGAAACAGCAGAGAGACACGCTGATACGGCCACCATATACCGAGAAATTATGCTAAAATATATATTAACGACGCGAGCAGCAGCATCAGCAGCAGCAGTAATGGATTTATATTATTATACTTGTGTGCGCGCGAGCCTCTGACCGGATGCAAGATCGTCGCTGTTCTTTTTATCGCTTCGATGAAATCCGCCAATAAAAATTGCGTATATTATATGCAAAATTCATGCGTTATGGGAGAGCCTTAAAAATTTCGCGCGTAAAACGACGCGATTAGCTTGGTTGGCTGCTGCAGCACAACACACACACCCGTATTACGCGGACACGACGCAGCCAGGACTAATTTTCGCTTTTTTACTATCTATAATATCGTAGCGCTGTAACGCACGATCGAGATCGAAATTATTATACGAGGATTGTAAAAGAGATCCTATAACGTGATCCCGTTAAGACGCGTTATTTTTCCCACGTTACCGCGCGCTGCACCAGCAGCACCTTAAAAAACGAGAAGCGACGACGATCATCGACTTTTTTTACACCCTATATACCTGAGCTGTATAGCACATTTATGTATGTATGTATGCGCGGCTCGAGGATTCGGAAAGAGGCCCAAATATCTCGAGCAATTTTCTCGCTCACGTATACATACGTGTGTGTGTCGCTTCCGACGTATACTTACGCGTTCGTGATATGCACTACAAAGCGCGTCGCGCGCGCGGGGCAAATGATTTTTCGGTGATTGGGCCTCGCCGCGCTCGAGCGGAGCGAAGCGAGCAAATCTCGTAAATCTGTCGCCGGGACAGCTGGTTTTTTGCTACTATACCGGCCGCGAAGCGTTTCGTTTTGCTTCCTCGCATTTTTCATGCACGCGCGGTGACACGTCTCTGCGTATGTGCGAAATTTTTTGTACATCGCGCGTGAATTTTTCGTATTTATATACAGAGCGAACACGTCTTCATTTCGAGGCGGATATGTATCGAATTGTTGGCCAAACGCGCTCGATTTTGTCACTTTTCTGAGGGGATGTTTATCTCGTATACGTGCGAATTGACGCGCGAACAGCAAGTGTCAGCGGCGGCATTTCGCAAAGTCGAGGGGCGATCGCCGATACAATTCGTGTACGTTTTACGTGTTTTATATTTTCGCAGGAGTCGGGGCTAGATCGACGATATTTTAGATCTTCATCCAGCGGGCCTTTATACGGAGTTTAGACGTCGATTGCGCGCGTCGAGGAGGTAAGAAGAGACAGACAAGTAGATACATCCAAACTCGAAATGACTCTCTTACTTCTCTCTAATATATCTTTTCACGTACAACACAATCTCGTACTGCCTTATACCTCTGCTCGCCTCAAAACTCGAGGTTCATTTGCCTTCCCCCCCATCTTCAATCGCATTTCCCGGAACTCAGCTTCTTCAAAAGATTCTTCATTGCGCGTCGTCGCAAGTGCGCAGTCGACAAGTGTGTGCCAAGAGGCTTTTTAATTTACCGCGATCTGCGATTGCAACCACCCACTCTATACGAGTTCACAGTTTTCATTTCTACTACTCGTGCCTCGCACAGTAATATATGTCACGCATTCGTATTATTTCTTTAACAAGGTAGTCCAGTGAAAACTTACATGAAATTGCATTTTGTTGGGAAGAGATGAAACCTCGTCTCGTTATGTTTTTGGGTGCGCTGAATTCATTGCCGATGTTATTGTTTACCTAAAACATCGATAATAATAATAATAAATAATTAATAATAAAATTGTCAGATAAAACAGTGGTTAATATAAGAACTAACTGTTTCATCATATAAACACGAATTTGAATGAAAGGCGCGAATACTTGACTCAAAGAATATAGTGGTGTTACAGTAAAAGATAAGAAAACCTTTCACTTTTGGAAAGGATGATTCAGCTAAAAAAAAAATGCTTCTCCGGTTTCCAAAACGGACTGTTCCAAGAAATATTCTTTCTCTTTGTGTCAAGATCAAGTGTCTTCTATCCAAGTTCAAATATCAATTTCATACAAATTATAATATTTTCCTTATGCTAGTCATGATTTCGGAGGCAATGAACGTTTCCGTTTTGCCTCTGTTGAATTCCAATAACACTAAAAAATTTGTTCTGACTTTCTTTTCCAAAATCAACCAACTCAATGCACGTACATACTGCGTTAGAATTCGAAAGGTTTAGTAATTGACGCCCATTATGACTTTCTGTTCTCTGCGACTGCGCTGTACTGCATTTAATCCACATTCTCACTTTCTCAGCCTTCACATAGATAGGTGGCTCAGTTTCAAATACATATACTGGAGATCACTTCAGTCTTTTACGACACCGCTACACGTGCATACATGTTAAATAATCTTGGTAAGTAATTCAAGTTAAAAAGAAGTGATATTAATACATTTTATAAACTATTTATATAATTTATAAACTATTTTTAGTGAATTGTGAGTGTGAGTACGCAAAAATGTCTGACATTAATCACTTGAAGAGCTTACGTAAAAACGTCAATTGGGAAATCGAGAGAGAGAGACGCCAATTCAGCCGTGAATTTTTTCCTCTGATCTGCAATTGGGAGGGCCAATTTCCGAATCTTCGGGAGATTTTTCAAAGCGAAGAAATCACTCATCTTCTCACGGATACCTCTGACTTGAACGCGAACTCAATGCACAATATGGAAGGACGAGTTATCACAAAATTGCAGATGGCTCTGTTCTTTGGTGATTGGGAGGAGGCCGAGGCCGAACTAAGCAGAGGGGCCGATGCAAATGTACCAAATTCAGAGGGAATGACGAGTCTTCACGTTATTGGCTTGGCAGGCCATGACTGGGCCGACACATTTTTCCGGATCATGGCAGAGCTAAGTCTGCGTGTGAAAGTCAATATCCCGAACAAAAAGGGTCGTATGCCGCTGCATTTGGCACTGGCTAATGACAACAGGAAGGTGGCTGAAGCATTGCTTAGAAGACACGCCGATCCCAATTATGCCGACCATGATGGATATACGGCTCTGCACGTAATTTGCAAGAGAGACAAGGACCAAGGTTTGCTCAAGGAATTTTTCAAGATCGTCAAAGAAATTCCGACATCGGTGCAGGTCGACGCCCGAGACAAGGAGGGCAACACACCGCTGCACTTGGCTGCCGCCGGTGGCTCTTTGATATTGGTCGAGTTGCTGCTGAAAAATCAAGCCAATCCAAACTCGCAGAACAAGGAAGGATCGACGCCTCTGCATTTGATTTGCAAGAGAGACATCAACGGCGGCTTGGTGAATCAATTCTTCAAGGTTGCCCTCGATATGGATCTGCAGGTGCTAATCAACGCCCAGGACAAGAGGGGCAACACCCCACTGCATTTGGCTCTGGCTGCTGGCTGCTGCAACCGGAATATGGTACAATTGTTGCTGAGAAATCAAGCCGACCCGAATCTGCCCAACGAGGAGGGCCAGACGCCTCTTCACTTAGTTTGCAACAGGTATCACAAAGACATCACGGCCTATGAATTTTTCAATATTTGCAAATTTGAAAAGAAGTCGTTGGAGGTCGATGCCAAGGACAACAAAGGCCGTACACCACTACAACTGGCCGTGGCGAATCTTTTGATGGAAGAAGTCAATTTACTCTCAAACTATGGGGCTGATCCATCTAAATTCGTTTTCCCTAGCAGGGATGACTTCCACCAGTCGCTCGGTTACCACGAAGACGACGCTTGGCTTATCAAGGGGGATAGAGTAAGTCGTGCTCTCCAAGTCTTGAAGATTCTCGAGGAACGGGGATATAAAGTGGATCGCAGCGACGCCATGACAATCGTGCGATTGTTTCGCGAATGGGGATTCTTACAAATGAAAGAGGATCTTGCAAGAGTGTGGCGCAAAGGGACGAAACCCACAAATTCTGATTTTCATAGTAGCGACGAATCCATAAAAAAGGCTGCTCATATGCAGTGGTTCAATACAACAACGCGAGAATTTTTCCAAAAATGGTATATGCCTGTTCTCGAGCCGCTGATGAAGAAAACTACGAAAAATTTAAAACTTGCTTGTTGGAGATCTATAAAATAAACCTCATGATGGCAATGAGTACCTTTCTTATTACTATTATTTTTCTTGTAATTTTGTATGTTATTTTAAATGTACTACATTTTCCATATAATTTAAATAAAAATATTTAAAAAAACTTGAATCTTTTTTAAATCTTAAATCATCTTTTCGTGAACATTTCTTTCCACATGTAATACACGTGTGGGTGATACCTTTGTGCACCGAATCGACGTGGTTTCCAGCCTTTTCTAGACGCGCTTCGCTTGATGTAGAATTAGTTATTCAATTATATTTTGATTTGCTTCAACTTTATTATTCATGCTTTTTTTGTGCTTTTCATGTAAATTGTTCAAAAATTTTCTACTTTCATATCTTCAAATCAATCATCTCAACGAATACAGTAAATCTTATACATCTTGGGTTGTGACACGATTGAAGGTGAACTTTATACATCGATTAAGTCATAATGCGTGAGCGATGCGCCGTATCGACGTGGGCTCTGAGATTTCTCTTTCTTCCGAAAGTCCTTCCGCATACCTCGCATGAGTAAGTTTTATACGCCGTAACCATGTGAGTTGTGAGATTATCCTTTCGTGAACATTTCTTTCTACATGTAACACATGTGTAAGTGATACCTTTGTGCACCTTATCAACATGCTTTCTGAGATTATTCTTATGTGGGAATTTCTTCCCGCATATACTGCAAAGATGAGTGATTTAATTATATACCGTATCTACGTGGATTTGGAGACTTCCTTTTCTTGTGAATTCCTTTCCGCTTACATGACATGAGTTGGTAACTTTTTGATGAACTGTATACACGTGGCGTTTTAGATGACTTATTTTTGAGTAGGGTAAATGTGGGTGTTACTGCGGTTTTTTTAGGTTGTTTTCCAACCTTCGATATTAAACGCTGTAAAAAGATTTGCCTAATAGTTTTTTTTACGTTATTGTTCAAGATCTCGACTAAACAATTTAAATATTAAAAATGCAAGATTTCGATAGTATTAAAATTATTTTCAACTCATAAATAAAAAAAATGATTCTCAAATGGTTTTGGAAAGAATTTTTTGTCTTTATTCGGAGATTTAATTCGGAAGATTGTATTGAAAAATGAAAGTCCTTAAATTTTTAGCCCTCTAGGTCCAACCCTCGTGGTTCATGGATAACCGTAAAACCCATTAATATAATTTTTAATATCAAATCTTAATTCTTCATCAAATTTTACATTACGCCAACATTCTTCTTCAACTCTCGAGCGTCTTTCATATATTTCGTTGATCCACGTAATCTAATTGACTCTACCGTACAGTCTGTCGCACTTGTATCTCGCAGCACGAATAAAACAGCATCGCATCGTTCAAGAGAGACTTTCTTCCTCTCCTCTAACTCACACGCGATTTTCGAGGCATATTCCTTTGGTCGCGATGATTGAACGACTGCCGATCGCTGCTCGAGTGCTACGGCTATATAAGCGCGCATCTGCGTCGATCGTTATTTATGGTACGTCGTCGACGTTTTTCTCGAATTTATGGCGAGCACGCTGCCCCTGACGCGCGGTGCGCGATTTTTGCAAATTTTATTTTCGGACCAGCGTGCAATAAACATGCCTCGAAACGATCATCAGTGAACTCGATGCGTTATACTACATAGATGTAAAAAAATTCGTCAAAATTGGGGGGACAAATATAATTCTGCGGGATCGTATAACTAAAGCGAGCCGCAGTATTACACGGCGAAAAAGCGTTCGATCATCGAAGCTCATGTGTACATAGAGCGAGACAAAGTTGAAAGCACAGCGCGATGATGATCGGTCTCGGTGGCGCGAGTGCGAGCGAATCAAGTCATCATTGCGCCCGTCAACGATCGCACACGCATATATATCGCCCAGCCCACAGGACAAATAGCCCCGTGAATATGGCGACGAAAAGTGTGCGCGAGGCACAGTTGAAACGAGGAAGTATATACGTATCAGAAGCGGTTGCGCTGCTGTATATACGCAGCAACGTCCCAGGGGGTAATCGCCGCCCCTCCCCCCCGCGACTGTATTACACGTATGCGCCTCTCTCTCTCTTTCTCTCGGCGAGCAACAAATGCTACCGTATACCAACGCGGCTAATCCCAAGCGTCATTTCGCACTTTTAATCGTTTTCCATAATCGCTTAGATGTGGCCACGAAGTGTGCGTGCGAGAGTGTCAGTTTTTGCAACCATATGCGCGCGTGGGTAGTAGCATATATACTTATTACACAGGGTCGAGCGGGGCCAAGATGACTCGCGATTATTATGTCGCGCTCTCTCTCTCTTTCTGCATACATCGTGATGTGTGTATATAGTACGGATCATCGAGCCTGAGGGACAGCTTCATCTGGGCGCGACGGACACCGAGTCAAGGGTTAAATGCTGAATTTGTATGTAGATTGCCGCGTGTTGTTGTCGCGGACGCGCACCAACGATGATGACCTTTTTCTTCTCTTTCCACGCGCGCACGTGTGTGTATGCGTGTGTGCGGGTACACCTGCGCGAGTTTAATGGTAGCTCGTTAATACACATGCCACTTGAAAAATTATCCGTCTAAATAAGCGCGCAGATCGGGATAGAGCTAGATTTTAGATTGCGTCGTCCAATCTGATTTAAAATCTGTTATTGTAATCAGTTATGCATTATACTATGTTGTCAGTAAATGTACTTTTAATATACTTTAAGCTTGACTAAATTTTATTCATTAAATTGTACAAATTTAACATGAAAATACACTGAGAAAAAAAATTCATTGATTCAATGAAAATTTAATTAATTACTATCTATGAAATAATTTCATTGAAATAATCTTTTTTTCTTTAGTTTCATGAAATTTTGGTAAAACAACAAAATATTTAGTAAATATTTAGCACAGCGAATTCGGGGCCTCTGCCTATGCTGGTCCGTATACTATTGTTATCATTGACGCCTGTTATACACACAGGCAGTCCGACTTCGCTGTGTTTACGTTTGGAGGTTGTTGCAGAATCAAACGCCGTATAGTGTACATATCGGCGCGATGCATAATCATGAAAGTTCCGCATGTGAACTAAGGTCAATGTGGATATTTTTGCGCATGTGTCTAGATTCGCTCAATAATTAATATTAAATATCTAATTTAACACAAAACATAAATATATTATTTTAATACTAATATTAAGTTTTGATCTCATGTAAAAATTTAATTCAAAGTTAAGCGAGAATAGGGGTTTAGCTGAGCGAAAATACCCACATTGACCTTATGTGGAAAGAAGTATACAACGAAGGGGCTTCTCAAAAAACATTTTGATCACGCAATTTCAGGCTTAATGAATGTGTAAAATTGAATCTGCAGAAGACTAATTCAACCATTTTCATTTATAATAATTTCAATATTTCTACTGAATTTGTTTCATTTTATTGCAATAAAGTCTTCCAGTTTTCAAAAAATTAAATAAATTCTTAAAGATAATGAAGCACACTCTTAATTATCTGCAAGGAAAATGTCGAATTTCTCATATTGACGTCAATTTTGAATAATAGTCATTTCTTAGCGCATTCCGCTTGACTTAAATTTTGAGACTTTCGATCCTAACGAACTATTATCACCAATATCCATTACACGTGTCAAGTGACAGCAATTTCAATCGCGACGAATTTCAAGGATTTTTTAATATAATTTTTCTTACACATGTGCAAGAGATATTTCTAATAAGCTGATTGTAAATTATGCACCATGGATGGCAAAGTCAAAGTATGTACCCCAGTGAAACACGAATTTTAAACCCTTCGAGCGACACCGACGCGCGTGCACGCATCTCGTTGCGCCACGATGATCTATACGGAATATACCGTATTACCCGAAACGCAGAAGTGGCTTCCGAAAACCGCAGGCCCGAGATGAGAGGTCAACGTGTCATCGCGCTCGGCGACGCGTATATTTATACCAGCCTATATGTAGGAATTTTCATGGCGAAACTTCGATGGAGGTAAAATACGCGCGGACAATATATCTCTGCGGGCCGCGCATATTTATACATATTGACATATACGTACGGACGGTCAGAGACTATATATGCGGAAGCTCGCGCGCTTCGCATAATACACGCGAAACCCGAATTAAATACGCTTATTAAGTACGGACATTTGCACGCGCATAATGTGGCGTCACGTGAGAATAATTTTTATCCTCGGCAGTCTACGGGAGTTTCAGGAAACTATTAGGCCTTTTTATTCTTTATTATAAATATTTTTTTTTCTGCTTTTCAAGTATCTCGTCGTCGTCGTCGTCGTCGTAAGCGCGCGCAAAATTTCGAATGGTAATTCGCGCGCGCGACGTGTGTGGCCCTGTTCCATCAATTTTCCTTCGCCAACGCAGAAAAATAAAGAGAAACGCGCGTGTATACATATATTGTATATATGGGGGGGGCTTATTATATTATATACGCGTGTTTGCATACGGTTCTACAGGTGGCGAGTCATTCGCGATATTTTACGACTAATTTATCGAATTTGTGCGTAAATTTACATCATGTGATTTTATACTCACGAATAATTCGGAGCTGTCGATAGCGATCTGCGCGCGCGCGAGTCCCGAATCCTCATATATACTTCTCATTTGCGCGTGTATTACGGATTTTTTTTTACGATTTTTTATTCGCGAGTTCGTTATAATACCGTGGCACGTAAGAGATATAGTTTATTTATACGAACGTCGGATTAATCGTCGCGCGAATAAAGGAAGATCGATTGCATACCGCGTATACAGCTCTCGAGGAAGTCCGCGAAAATACATAGGCGACTTCCAATTAAAGGCATGGATATATAGCTTATACAGAACTGCTGCCGTTGACGCAAGGGGGGAAAAGGAGCATTATTACCCGGCTAAAAATCACAACGCATCCGAAAAGGTGTTGAGCTTGTATTATACAGTGTGTGCAGCAAAGCGCAGCAGAGATCGTACAACCCGTTACGTAAGCCATTATTATCCCGTTCTCACCTGGTTTACGCTCGGCACGACGG